CTAACTGAAGAGCCCTTAACTTCTGACGCTGCAAATGATAATCACATTGTGGCTGAAGGGGTGTCTGAGGAGTCTCTAAACAGACTGAAAGGTGCTGTTAGCTTTGGATATGGCCTTTTTCACCTTTGCATATCCATGGTGCCCCCAAACCTGCTCAAAATCATCAACCTGCTGGGTTTTCCTGGAGACCGCCTACAGGGGCTTTCTTCACTGATGTATGCAAGCGAAAGTAAGGACATGAAGGCCCCTTTAGCTACGTGAGTAGCTATATTGCAATGCTTTGGTAGATAATATAGTGTTGAAAGTAAGTAGACTACAATCAAAGACTTTAAAGGAAACTGCAGGTAAAATGCTTAGTTGTTTGACATGACGCCACGCCTTGTGTTTTTTAATGAAATGTTTAGGACTGTGTTTTGTGGTGGTGGTGATGGCGGTGGTGTTTATGATCTGACTTTAGAGAACAAGGCACTGTTGGAGTCCCATAGCCAGTCACTGGCTCTTTTAAATCATTTGAGTCCTGTGATCGTATCTTTCATCCTCAGATCATTTGATAAGCAGTTTTGTGACTTTCAACACAGTGACTGAGATTTATAATCTTGATTTTGGGATTTAGGGGATACACATTTTTGATAAGTGATTCTGGAATTTGTATTCTTATAAAGAACCCTCATGCTGGGTCATTTCCCTTGATGGTTCAGGTGGACCAATTGGTCTCTTATATGTGGCTGGGATATTTTTTGCTACTTAGCTAAATTGAGTCATGTTTCTTTGTTCAGTCTATACTTCAGTGGCAAATACTTAAACAGGAGAGCATGGGGAAGCTGGTTTGACTCTCCAGAACAAGAATCCGCCCATTTCTACATCACTTATCAATGATATGTCTTTTTTCCCAATGTGGCAAATATTTGCAATTTAAGTAATTTTACCAAACAGCAGATGTCTTTTGTCTGACAACATACCACTTATCAATTACTTCTTTTAATGCTGATATCATAGAGGACCTTAGTGACTTCTGTTGCTACTCATGTCACTAATGTAGAATTTGGATGTTAACTCTGAATGAGTTGATGGCCATTAAAAATATCATTAATTTTGCATTTCAAAAATATCTGTGCCTTCCCAAACTCATTAAATTACACAGTGGCCCTTTATTAATTTGACTGCACAGATTTGTAATTTGTGATAATTTGTCTCAGTCTGTATCTTCATATTTATTATTTTTGCTTGTTTCTGAGAAAGGAATGGATTGAATTAATAATATTAGTATGATCTCCTCAAGAGAACCAAATTCATGAGCACACCAGAAGCACACATTTGCATAAAAATATTTGATGTGTTGGTTAAACATTTTTGTCTGTTCATTAAAGTAGGTCCCAATGTATCAGTTTTGTTTACCTAGTTTAATACGGCATTTTTCTTGAAAGCAATGGATATGAATTAAGAAAATTTAAAATAATTTATTTGTTTGTTTTTAAATTGAGTATCCTCAAAAGGGCTCTTTATCTGGCCCTCTTATTTATTTTAACCCAACTTAATATGATTTGTGCCAGTGGTCCCTATGTTTAAATTTGGATTCTGAGGCTTATACCCTAACTTTTGTGAACACAAGAGAAAACACTTTTTTTCTTTTGTAAAAAGTAATGTTTTTATTATGAGGAGACAGTATGTTTATGGTGACCAGCAATTGTTTTCTCATTTGTGCATTGATGAGTAAGATTCAGTAGATTCATTGATGAGTAGATTGTGCATTGATGAGTAAACGTCAGTAATTCTGAAGTAGAATTCAGAGGTTTCCATCACTCCTGTCTTCTGTGATCCATCCAGCAGGCTCAGAAAAGTGAAATGCTTCTGCTCCCCTAACCTCCCCTCACCTAACGGAAGGAAGTCTGTTGATTTATACGTTGTACTGAACTTGCAGCTTTCCAAATACTGATAAAGTTAAAATGAGAGAGAGAGTCTGATATTACTTCTTCAAAGACTGCGTAGTAAACTTTTGGAAGAAGTATATACTGGGACAGCACATACTGATTTTAAGAAAGTAGCAACAAAATAAGAAGAATCATTTACTCAATATTTCTCTCCCTCTTCCTTTAGATTAGCTCTTCTCTGGTATCATACTGTCGTCCGCCCTTTTTTTGCCTTGGATGGCAGCGACAACAAAGCAGGTCTGGATGAAGCTAAGGAAATTCTTCTCAAAAAAGAAGCTGCTTATCCAAACTCTTCCCTCTTCATGTTTTTCAAGGGACGAATCCAGCGATTAGAGGTATTGTGCCTTCCTCATCGTTTTAAAATAAAACCTGTTGACTATCAAATCTGTAATTTTCGCCTGGGGACTACTATCAAAATGAGCCAGATGTCACAGGGCAGAGGATCATTGTGTTCTTTTACCTCTCATTGCATCCTTGCTGTGGAAGAAGCTTCCAGGAACCCAGGTTGTTCGTCAGTTACCTTCTGTTCAGGAGATGTGGGTGGAATAAGATGAGATCCTCATTAATGAGCAAGATTGATGTTCTCTAAGCTTAAGGCATAGGAGCATTATTAATTCTCTTAGTTGAAGAATATGGAAAACAGTTTTTTTTTTCCTCTCCAGTTACTAATAATCGATTTTCAATTTTGATCTTGGCTAATAATTTATGTAAAAGTTACTGTCTTAAATATCAAGACAGCATCAGCTTTGAAATAACAGTAGCTTTTATTTTTCATGCACTTAGTTGGACTAAGTGCTGTGGCTAAGAGCTTCACACAACTTATCTGATTGAATTCTCAGAACATTCTTATGATATAGGTATAAAAGTGTCCCCTGCGTTTTATAGAAGAAACAGGCAAGTCTCAGAGAGACGTTCAGGGGTCTTCCCAAGCTCCCGGGAATGAGCCCAGGCTGCCTTACTCCAGAATCAGAATGTTCTCTCGTCTCTATAGGGGCTCCCCTTCGCCTTTGCACCTCATTTTTATCTGCTTGCTTGAGAGCATGAGGGCTCGTAGAAACATGAAAATATTTTTAAGAAGAAAGCTATATATGAAAGAAGGTGACTGTTATGCTAGATACACCAACTGTATTCTTAC